ATTGTCGGTCGCCGGGGTTCTCAGCCTTGCGACGAACAACTCTGCCCGTGACGTTTGCTGGTTTTGCTGGCTGTGCGGGTAGCTTGACTAACTCTCGGAGTCTCTACGTACGGAGACTGAGGAGGCTGTTGTGGTTGCCTGAACTCACGGTTTTTCTCCCTAACCTGCTGTTGTAGAATAATCTGCTCTGGTAGGAGCTCCAGATCGGTTGCAAGAATGTCCATAAAACCCCAAATTGCTAGAGCAGATTGTGCTCTGGCTAGACGTCTACTGGTATTTGGCCGGAGACGTTTGCGTTCAGAACGTCTTTGTATTGGTGACACAAGTCAAGCATGGTGATTTAGGATGGAGTTCGATGTAAGTCGCTTGTCCATTACAGAACAGTGTTGTTGGTAGCCGGGATACCTAGCTGCATGACTCCCAGCTCTAGGCTTCATACACTGTTGTTGAACGACTGCGTATGGCGTACGTTGCGTGGGCGTATTATAACCACACTTATTTAATTTGATTGCAGGTTGTTTCGATTCCACTTTGACGCCACCTAGCGGATTTATCTGAACTAAAGTGCAAATTTAGCGAATTTTTTCAAAACTTTGAGCTTATTTATTGCTTGTGTTATCAATGCCTTCAAGATGAAAACTATACTAAAGTCATCTAGGAAGTATCAAGAATTGGTATGCAAAATTTCAGCAAAATCGGTTGAATAGTTTTTGTAGTCAGTGATTACAACAGCTTTAGCGACTTTACTTCTTATATTAGTAAGATTTGTATGGCTGAATATATATCTTCTAGTTGTCAAGAGAGATTGATGCATTGGACTTGAAGTATTAAAAATTGAAAAAACCAAAAAAAAGGCAACACAGAATCATCTATTTAACTGATTAACCAAAGTTATGTTACGGCAGCTTTTAAATAGTTTTAAAAAATGTTAAGAGTCGATATTTTAAAATTTTTCGAATCTAAATACTGGGAGGTCTTACTGATAACTTAAAGTCATGACTGATAAACTAAAACGTAATTAACAATATTTAATAACATACGAGCAATCACCTGTTGTTGCTAGCTAAACTATCATAAATAAGACGAAAAAATTGAAATAATACGAATTATGTATGACCACCCTATGAGAGGATATAAAAGAATAAACGAGACTTATCAGAAAATTACGAAGAGGTTGTATTAGCCTAGAATGCGAAACAAGATTTTTCATTATGCTCGAAAACGTACGAAATGTCAAGAAAAGTAAATTTATCGAATAAGACGTAGAGATCCGTTTGTCCTTACAGATACATCTAATAAAGCTTTTGACTAAGTATTAATAGACACTATTGGCAAATAAAGAACAGCACCAAATGAGAATTGTTTGTTTACAATACAATGTAATTATACTTGATACATTATGTTAGTTCATATACCCGATTCAAGACCAAGCACCATTAAAACAAAATACCTTAACGTTTCCGGGAATACCATTTGCTTTTAAATGTTATGTATTGTATCTAATATCTTTCTTTGTAGTTTTCTTATGTTTATCGTCTATATCGACTTTTGATGTATTTTACATTTTTCTATATCTGTACATCTTATGTCTGTCAAATTTTTCTTGTAAAGCTTCTTTTTTGTTTTGTTACAGAAGTTCCAAACCGAGTAAGATAAATGTCGCTATTCGTGGAATATGTCCCTATTTATGGAATATGAAAATTTATGTATTTTTTATATGACTTACTTGATAAAAAAATTGTGGTAGTTGTACGTTTTATGAATCTTCATGAATTCACAAGAAAAATTTCATTTTACATACAATGAATGACCAATTTTAAAGATAATTCTATAAGTAGGGACAAAGTCGTACATAACCTATCTTTTGAACTGTACGTTTTATGGCAGCAAACTTCAACGAGAAATTTATATACTTCTAGTAAACAAATAAACGATATATTATTTTTATTAAATAAAATAGTGATATGCAAGCGTAAAAACTTTAATTGTCTTAAAATATTATACTAAATTTACGTTATTTTAAATTTTATAAATAGGGACATAATATAAAACAATAGGTACAACGTTTCATAATTATGTACATTTTGGTCTTATAACCTGTTTATAAAATAAAGTATTTTAATAATTAAGAACCACATTTGAAAATAAGAATAATAATGGTAAATTTATAGCGCACCAGCTAATACCGAAATTTCTACTGTTAGAGCTCACAGTTAAGAAAAAAAAATCAAAGAAGCAAGTATGATGAAATTTATAGTCATAATAGGGACATTTACCTTAACCATGTGCTTTGAACTTAGAACACCTACTTATGCGAGTCACGAAGTACTAAGTCACCTTCTCAACGTGTTTCAAGGTTATTGCAGTTCTCTAATTAATGTAATGGATTTAATAAGCACAGAATTAGTTAACTTTACTATACCTTTCTAATAATCTAACTTTTTTTATTTTGCTAAACTTTGTGCCCCATAATTCGCTTAAGTTGTTGTTTGTTACTTCCACAAGCGATGAAACACACGAACCAGCGCTCATTAAAAACGACTCTGATTTCCTCATAAATAATAGTATAAACATTTAAATTATTAAATAGTCGTTTATGAAGCCCCTAAAACCTTTTCGGAACTCATCTTATGAAACAACTTATTATAAATAAAGACTTTTCTGAGCATGAAACTTCTTAAACCACATAATAAAGTTAAAATTTTAAAGTAAGTACTGTTTTCTTAATAGCAGATCTTTTTGTTCCTAAACATTGGTTTATCGACAGCATATATTGTGGGAACTAAATTACCGAACCTTTTTTGTCAATAATAGACTTAGATCAACTTTGTCATGATTTAGTATAGCTTTCATAGCTACTTTTTTAGTTCTGCAATTATAATAGCTTTATGAATCATTCTTAAGGTACATGTATTACAAGACGTGTGACACCCGTTTAAAAACTAACATTAAAAAAATTAAACCGTTGGTAAGGTAGTTAACAAAAGAAAGTTGGCCACTGTATTAAGAAAAAAAAATTTTTTTTTCATTTAGTACTGATAAGTAATGTTTTTCAGTTCATTTTTTTTTTTTTTTAGTTTTCATTAACTAGTTAACTACATTTTAGTTTTCATACTTTCCACAGCTGTTTGTGTACAACCAAAATTATAGGTGCATCTTAAGCACTTATTTACACTTTGGTTACAAATAGTTTGACAACTAAACATAAAATCTTTTGAAAATTTTCATAAAACATTGCACGGACATCTAGCTACAATATATTACTTTTTTAGTGAAAACTAAAAATCTTTTTTTAACCTGAGTCCTATAACACTGACACTACTCTAACGTTTTTTTATGCATAATCTTAAAACAAAATTTAATTTACCCTTGAATATCTTTTGTACTGTACGTAAGAATGATTTATAGTTTTAAAAAGACGCATATGTATCCTTAAAGTACAACATACTTTACTTTTATCAAAATCCATACAGATTGTTTTTATGACCTGTGTGCATGTACATTTATTGAATCGTTCGTGTGTATGTGTGTGTGTTTTTTTTTTTTTCGTTTAACTTTAACTTGTGAAAAACGAGATATAAAATTAATTAGTATTAATGTATAATTTGCAATATGATATCTGGTATATGATGTACAGCCTTCCATGATTACTGCATGTTTATTAGATATAATGTGCAGTAACAAGTGAAAATGCAGCGTTCTCTACGCATCTCTTTCTTATGAAAATAATAGAGTTTTAAATTCCAAACAATTTATTCTGCCTCACATCAATGATACATATTTGTTCTTGCTACGAATGTATACGCAGGGATGCTAATAATTGTGTATACTACTTCGTTACTAAGATAAATGAACAAGCTTAGGAAAAATTATATTAATATATCCTGCCTTTGGCTGCAAAATTTTAATTAGAGGCCTGAACAACAGTCAACTTCTGCTTCATGATAACTGATTGCTATAATTTCTCTGTTTTAAATTAATTACGTAATCAAAAACCAGACAATTTTTTTTTAATTAATGGTTATCAGTTTTTTTTATCGAAATACGGATACGATTAAGGTAGTAGTTTAGTTAGGTACATCGTGTGGCATACTGTACTATAGAGTATGCCTAGGTTGTGCAGTCTTTACTGTACATCTGTCATTGCCCCTCTCACGCAACTACATGATATTTTTTAACTTTGGAAAGCTGACATACAAAAACTTTATGGCTAGGCTTCTTGAGACTTGGTATTTAGTTTATTTATAATATCAATTATAACATACCGTTTTTTTGAAAGGATTGATCGTTTTGTTTAGGAGTTATGAATGATTTCGTTTCGAATCCTACCCCAAATCAGGCGCTTTCCTATCTCTCACGTGTTAAAAGATCAACAGTAAAACTTTAATATCTTCGAAACTACACGACTAGGCATCTCCAAATTTGGACTCGTGATGAACTATAGCAAACTTAAGCTACACGCAAAATTTTAGAAAAATTTATCGTCTAATCGTTTTACTGAACTACTACCTTAAGTCTAAGAGAAATTGACATTTAGTTGCAATTCAAAAGTAAGAAAAAAAATTAGCATTCGTGATTAATTTTTTTAAATTAGTATTTCTATGCAGAGTTACATATAACTGTCTCTGAAGTTAAAAATTGTCAGTATGTTATTTAAAAAAAAAGTTTTTTTAGCATCTGTTTTTATTAAATACGAAGCTTGATGTTTTGTAAAATTTTAAAGAATCAAATACTTTTCTACTACCAGCTTGAGCAGTGTTCAAGTATCTCACTGTTAGTGTCAAAAATTTGAATGCTACTTAGGTGAAAAAATTCTGCATCTGTATGTTATGACTTACTATTTTTAAGCTTCATTGTATGGTACTGATAAAATGAACTTGAACTTGCTATTGTAGATTTATGTTTGCATGTACTAAAAATTATTTTTATACATGTATAAAACAAAAAAAAACTTTATCGAACATTAACATCGCATATTTTTCTTTTCATTATTACAGAGACTGGCATTGGAGTTATGACCGATTCTCGATTGGAAAATAATAATACTCATAACCAGAACTCTAGCTGTGATAGTAAGAATCACAATAACAGTAAATTGACTCATATTAGCTATAGCAAAAGTAATTATAATAATAACAACAATGAGGGTGTTGAAGAAAGTAACTACCAACATAAAAAATTCAAAAAAATGTCATCGGGTGAGATTTCATTCAATCTTACTTCTAATGTAACTCAAATATTACCATCTGAAAGCTCAGTATTTCAAAATGAAAGCAGTGAATCCATTATTGAACTCAAATTATCAAATAACTGTGATATTACAAAACTTCGCAAGTATAGTTACACATGTCCTCATTGTAAGCTTTCTTGTCGTAAGCCCAGTGTTCTTCAGAAACACATGAGAGCCCATACAAATGAAAGACCTTTTCCATGCGTTTTGTGTGGATTCGCTTTTAAAACAAAATCAAATCTCTTTAAGCATTTTAAATCAAGAGCTCATATTTCAAAAAAAAGTGGTGATCTTAACAAGGTAAAATAGTTTTCTTTGGTTCAAATCTAAAGATTCTAAAAAATTTTAGTCTTATAATCCAAGTATTTTAAAAATAATTTATGATAAACACACTCTGTTCACAGGTTTCTCATTTTTTTAATCAAGCCTCGGATGACTCTGATGTAAGTTTACCTGACACTGCTAGCAATGGTACTAGTAATCTGCGACCTTTTTCCATAGTACAGCCTGCATCATTAACACAAGCTGAAAATTTATCTATCTGTAGTCCAAATATAAGCCCGAGATCAAGTTTAAGTTCTAGCCCATGTTCAAGTCCAACTTCGAATGATGTTGAAAAAAACAATACAAAAATTGTAAAAATTTACAAGCCTAAATTTCATGTGACTAGAAAAAATTGTGTGGATATAAAAGATGTACTACAAATTAAACAACCTCAGGAGTATTCCTCTGTGTATACAGAGAGTGTCGTTACAGATAACCAAACAATTGTTGACAAACCTGATTCAAGAGTACAAGAACTTATTGAATGTAAGAAAAATTCTACACTGCTGAAAAGTACAGATATAAAAAGTTATTATAACACCAGAAATTGTACTGAACATTTTGTTTGTCCTGATTGTAACCTAGACTATGGCAGTCTTGACAGTCTCAAAACACATAGACATTTGAATTGTAATAAATATCTACCTTTTGGGCTGCAGGTAGAAAATTTATCTCAGAGCTCCTTAGCCTCAGACTGCATGAATATTAAAATATATGATGAAACTATCAATAAGCGTAATGTTTTTAATGAAGATGGTGACTGTCATCCAGTCAATATACAGCCTATGTCTTCTCCAGGTCCTTTATTAGGTAACACGCGACTTGTTGATTCTCAGTGTCAAGCAATTTCTGTAAAACGTGCTAAGCTTGAAACATCTACTGAACCTCATTCATGTAAAGAATTAAAAAAAATTTTATTACCAAATGCACTTCGAATGTTTGGTGGTCACGTATGCATCCTTAACAAGGACGATGAAAATGAAACCATACGTATTGAATCAAAAATTAACCATTCCTCAAATAAAAAATCTAGTTGTCAAAGTAACGCTGAAACAGCATCAGTTGTTGTACGATCTAGCTTGCATTCAGGTGGTACAATGTTACACAAATCTTCCAATGCCGTCATCTCTCTTCCTTATGAACAATCTTGCACAAGAATTAGTCTTGCTAATATAGTACCTAATATTTCACCGCCAAGCTTGGCTCCAAGTATCTCTAGTTCCGAAATTTTTAAGCCCTCGAACGTTTTATATGCAGGAAAAATTGTTCCTCATGTACCAGGTATACCAGGTCCTCATTGTCTTACAGTTAATTATGAATCTACAAATATAAATAAATCATCTTCTGTAAGTACTAACATTGCTCAAATAAAAAGTCAATTTACGACAGCTAAATCTATCGTTAATTCTTCTAATAGTGCTTCTGTAAGTAAGTTCTTAAGACCTTGTTCATTGCCACTTAAACCTGGAACTTACATTCCAAAACAGCACCATGGAATTACACCAACAACAAATACATTATCTCTTATCAGTCCAGAGACACCTCGCCCTAAAAAGTCATATGGACAACTCTACCTTAATGGGCATTCATACACTTATCTTGGTTTGAAATGCTCGACCCGACTCTTTTACTGCACATTAAATCGAACGCAACCTATGTACGTTGCACAGCAAAATGGTCTTTCTATGTACTCAAATTGGAGAATTTGCAAAGAAGCTCCAGCTGATTTTGAGCTATCCTATTATGATTCAAGACATAGACTTACTGGTTACACACTTGCAAGTGATAAGCATACGGATATTCTCACGCATTCATCTTGGCGTCCACATACTTCTAGTAATTCAGACAGTAGTCATGAAAGTGACAGAGAAGAAAAGAAGGAAAACTTTGAATTATCAGTAAACAAGCTCAAATATAATAAAGATTGTACGTACGGACGTGGAAAAGGTAAAGTATACAATTTGTATAATATGTACATCATATTATTACATACATACATAAATATGTGTGCGGGTGCCTGTATATATTAGAGAGGCTTGGCCCACAAAACAAAAGTTTTGAAAAATGCAAGTGATTCTCAGTAATTTAACGATTCACCAAAGGTGGTTAAGTATACAGTATTCGTAAAAAAAGATTTGCTTCCCAATTGACATGTTCATTACATATTGAACTTGAACTTTAATATATATGGTAAATTATGAAAACTTGCCGTGTCAGACATATTCTTTTTGCGTAAAGTACGTTATTAAGACTCAAATAATTGTATAACCAACTGACAAAAGAAAAGTCAACTGTTCGTACTGTGCAGAATATTTAGGAGTCTGAAGGGGATTTGACCAAAATTTTATCGGGTTAAAGTAACAGAGAAATTTAATAAATTTTCTATCATTTTGTAAGGAAGGTATGAATTTGTATGGCTCTGGGGACTTTTTATCTGCTTCACCGAAGTAACTATAACTATATTTTACATACACGTATACTAGTAGGGCTTTGCACTTCTGTGTGCTCCACATGTTTTTTCCATAACTCATATAAGTAGAATAATAGTACCATAATCAATTGTCAATTATAACAAGAGAAATTGAAAGAAATCGATGCTTCTAAATTTTGTGTGTAAAAATATATAGGGCATCGGAAAAGTATGAAAAGAGCATAAAAATTTTCTAAGCATGCGTTTTTTCGGAAATACATTAAGTATTACCGTTACACGATTTTCTTCTAGCTATCTCTTAGTGACCATGGATATGACTTTAAAGATGACTTTGAAGGTTGTATAATATTTGCAGTTGAATTTTTAAATAAGATTACCCATTTTCGATCCTGAGATCAAAAAAAGCGTAAAAAGTTATAATCGTGTAAGAACTTTAGAACCCTGATATTTACCTCTAAGTCGTCAACACCAAGTCAAACTTGAAAAATGTAATCATTGTCTTGATCCAAAAGTTTCAAAACTGCAGAAAATTTTAAGCTTTTACCGCAATAACTGTTGGTAACTTTGAATTATAAGTTGTTGAGCTTTGATGAAAAATTCTGAGGTCACTTTAAGGCCATGACCGTATTGTTTGAATTGTTTATTAGTTTCACTAAAAAATGAAACAGTTTTAATAAGATACGATTGTAAAACTAATGTTTTTACCTCTAAACCTCTAACAAATCTAGATAACAACCGTATAATTACATCGGTATAGAAAATAACGCATGTTCGGGTGGGTATACTCATTTTTACTTACATCATTTACTCATTCCATAAATACAAATCATTTTTGTTTATTCCAGTATTAATCTTGCCCGTCCATAACTTCAGAAATTAAATTCAAATTTTGTTAGTTTCATTCTTTAATATAAATAGTAGATAAGCATAACAACACTGTTCCTTGTACAGATAAATCACAGGTTATTTTACTTTACCATCATGAATTTAGTGAACAACTAAAGAATTGCTTAAAGCGTTCTAAGATAAAATTTACGTTTAAATTTTCTAATAAATCAATCTTTTCAGTTGGGCATAGCAACGATGCTATTACTCATAATAAGAAATCTAATGTTGTTTATAAAATATCATTCGATGTTTGCTTGTCTGAACACGTTTATTATTTTAAAGGAACTTTTTTTGAAATTTTTAATATTCTCACTACAATTAGTTCTATAGATACAATTTTTGACGTATGTAAATTAGAAAAGAATAGAAACGGCTCCTTTTGAGAAGCACTAAGGGTCTTTGACATACATTATATCTGTACACATATATTAGTTTGCGAGAGTTTAAAAACTGTGGATATTTTCGATTCCCAACCCAATTGTTTTTATTAAGTTTAAGTTTTAACAAACAAAGAAGGATCTTAAGAAAATTTAACTAATCATTTAATTCAATTCATCTTCATTATTGCAATCATATCTTCGTAGTCATCTTATTTTTCTCACCAAGGATCTACTTATTTCTTTTTTCTCCAATACTTCATGAAGCCAGAATCGATTAACCGTATCGAATACAGCAGTGTGATCTATAAAGCCTGCATAGATTTTTAATCCTTTAGGTATCATTTTGACAGAAGAAGTTTTTTTTTACCTCTTTAACCACTATCTCTCTTCAAAGCAAAAAGTGTGACCATCCACTCCGTTAGATGTCTTCGCTCATTATCATTAAGTTTAATTCCTTTTATGGCTGTATTAATTACTCTATTCAATTTTCTCTTTTTTCTGCAATAACTTCCTCATTTGAAGTACCTCTTGTTCTGACAAACCCACCGCACTCGCTCTCTCTCCAATGCTCCGTGTCGACCCTGCTACTCTCTGACTGCTTCTGATGCTCCAACTCTCTGTGTTTGGTTCCCCCTCGCTTTCTGAAGCTATCGCCAGCTCCTCTTTCTGCCGCTTTTCTTGATGGTTTTGATGCGTTTTGCCATCAGTAGCGTTCTTTCATTTATATTAAATGCCTACCTTTGCAGTTTGATATATTCTCATTTTTTATGGTTCCTCAGTATCTGCCTGCTTCGCTTTCTTGTATTTTTCTCTCTCATCTTTTCACTTTTTAATACCCTTCTTTATCGCAGCAATCTATGCTTTTACATTCCTTTATTTCTCCTCCTCTGTCTCTTTATTCTCACCTTTGCTAGTCCAGGTCCAGCCGTATGAGCGCGTAACCAATCGAGATCCACGGATCCACCCTTCATTATTCTGTGCAATTTGACCCTTAAACACGGTAAGCAGGGATTGATCACTGGAATTTTTGCCGTTCAACTGTCATAACAAATTTTAGTGATAAATTTAAAAATACGGTTTTTGAAGAAAAACTAGAATTCCTCAAGCTTAGAAAAATGCATTTTTTACAATTTTTGATCACGTTTGACTCAGCTTCTGTTGTATTTTTTTTAAACTCGGAAGGACTCTAATTTTACCTCAAACCATGTACTCTTCGATGAAAAAAATATTCGCAGACCTATTTGTTATAACATTTGTGTCACAACAAAAAAATGGACGTGAGTTTCTGATCTAGAGCACAATACGGCACTCGGCATTAATTTTGGAACCAGAGGAGTTTTCCACATCAAACAAAAATTCAGTGTCGTAGTAAATAACCTATTAATAAATTTTTATTATCGCTAAAGTAAGTGACAAAAATATAGGTGTGAGAATTTCGTATCAAAAGTTTAAAATATTATTTCCCAAAAAAAGGTAGTATCTACAATGTTTGGATTTAAAGTATACGATAATTTACTTATACCAACCAAAGTTAAGAATATACTTCATCCTACCAGTGATCTCATTCCAAATCGTGATCGTAAGAGTCGCGTCAGTAAGTTATGTTGCTGTATAGAAGCAGGAATCCCATGCTTTACGTTTTGTTCTTATGAATCAAAGCATATGTGTAAAAATAAATATAATTGTGATTAACTTCTTCGAATTTTATTCAGATACCATTCGCTCATTTTTTATCATTTGCATTCATTCTTAGCAATGAACATATTCAGGAAAATGTTTTGACATAGAAATTTTTTTTTTTTTTTTTTTGACGTGGAAAACTCCAAGTCCCAAAAATAATGCCGAGTGCTGTATTGTGCTCTATATCAGAAACTCAAGTACGTTTTTTTGTTGTATCACAATTACTGTAGCAAATATAACTGCGAATATTTTTTCATCCAAAAGATCATGCTTTGAGGTAAAGTTCGAGTCCACAAAAAATGCAACAGCAGCTGAGTAAAACGTGGTCAAAAATCGTGAAAAACGTATTCTTTGAGTTTAAGGAACTCTTTACTCAAAATCTATGGGGCTTATGCATACAGATTCTAATTGATTTTTTGTTCAAAATGTCCCAAAGAATATGATCAAATTTTTTTTCAAGAGAAAAATCGAATTTTTGAATTTTTTACTAAAATTCGTTAATAAGAGTTAAACGGCAACAGTTCAAGTGATTCACCCTTGCCTACCGTGTTCAGGGCGTTATAATGCATATAATAATAAATGGTAGATCAATCGGCCACGCGCCAACACGGCTGGACCCAGACTATGTCTATCATCAGCGTAACGTGTTATACCGTACTGTCCAGGTTTAATTGCTTGACAAAAATTTGCTTATCTCCGAGTTTGCTTCTTTTTTTTCTGTTATCGTATCCTGCACTTTTCCTGTATAGTTGTTTTTTAAGGCTTTGTTATTTAAAAGTCTGCTCTCCTTACTATCGCTAATGGATTTCTTCACAATTACCATGCTTGTGGCTACAATTATTTTGTCTACTTATACTGACTTCAACTAACTGTGCAAGCGCTCTTTCTCAATGTTTTGTTATAACCTTACTTATTCAGACCATTCTTTTTTATTTTCTGCACTTTTCTAAATCAAAATCCATGTAAAATTTATGTAATTCCACACTTTTTTCTCTGAATTTACACCCCACAATATTATTTCCTGACTTAACAAACAGCAGATTGCCCTTTTTAGCTAGCTACATACACCTCACGACGGTGCGCCACGCGAGCACAACACGAAGTCCTACTACTTTCCCTTTAAGTATTTTTTGAAAGCAACGTGAACAACGGAAAAACCTCTATGAAATTCTTGACCACATTTACATCTTATTTTTCGTCCAAAAGACTAACCACAACTAGCTTTAAGTACTTAGAAATAATTTCACAACACAAAATTTTCTGCATTATGATAAACAATCTACTTATCATTCCATGCTCACTGTTTTTCCATACCTCTGTTGTAATTTATTCAGATCTCTACACCTTTCTTTTACTCATTTCTTTGTCTGCCAACCGAACACATCTTGCACCTAACTGACTTTTCTCTTTAACGACGGATCCCGTCGATCAGTTGTTCAAAACTTTTACTCTTTTGATCTAGTAATATATTTTTTATCACTAACTTTTCATTTTTTCCAAAAGCCAGCATCTCCAAAACATCGCTTTCTTTCTTTAAGTTTTTTGACTGTAGTATTTTAAATTTTCTT